TGTGATTGGTGTTGTCCATTTTCATGCTTTTTTTATCTTTGAATTAGGTCAAACTATTTGTTGGTTGATTTTTGCATACAAACCCTAGGTCTATCATGGCATAATTAGAAAGCTTTAAAATGCGGAATTTAAAGTCCTAAATTATTACAACATAATTATGGGGATGGGGGTACAAATGTTCAAATGGGGGATATTTAGCAAGAAATTTAAATCTAAACTATTACATCCAAATTGAATATACAAGTTATTTAATTGTACAATATTAAGACAAATATAATAAATATGCAAAAATGCACAAAAATGGTTTTGTATGTATGTAAAAGTATTTTTCATGTGACATAAAAAAAGTTAATTTTTTTTGGATATTTTCATGGTTTAGGGCAAAACCCTAGTTTTCTAAATAAATAGTATTTATTAATTATATTATATACAACATTTATTAATTATATACAAAAAAATAATTAAAGGAGAAGTATATTGTAAAAAGGTATTTTTTGATGTCAAATATTAATAAAAATAAAAATGTATTATTTTTATATTTTTATCCTAAATATTTAATAAAATATATATATAAGTATTTATATTATATATTAAATATACTAAATATGTACAAAATGAAATATTAATTATTTATAAAAATAAAAATAAAAAGGGTATGTTTTTAGAAAATGTTTTCAAAACATAAACAAAAAATAATAACTAAAAAATATTTTTTAATATTATTTTTTGGTATTTTAAATAAAAGTATATGTATTTATTTACATGTATAAGTTTAATAAAGCAAATAAATTCCAAATAAATGCAAAAATGAGTGAAAAAATATTTTTTATATTTTTTATATTTGAGCAAAAAATAATAAGTCAGAAACAAAAAGAAAAAATAAAAAATGATTAGAAAAACACATAATGGGCCAGGGGGGTGCAAAACTAAAAAAAGGGGTGCAAAAAGCAGGTTGACTCAAGCCCAGCCCAAGTCAACTCTGTCTTCAACCTCTAGCCAGATTCAAACAAAAACGCACGCCCTTCCTTGCTTAATGCTAACTCCTTATTCCTTGATTTTTAGCCAAAACTCACAACATAAACAATGTAGAGCATTAAATCACGAGTCCATACATATAAAAAACTTGATCTAACTCTCAGAAATGAGAGAGAATTTCTTCTCCCCCAATTTCTGACCTAAGTTTTTTCCAATGTTCATGTCCCAAATTCTCTCATCACACATAATATAAATGAAAAGTGGCTATATGGGTAGCTTCAGGGCTATGAGTAGGACATACTTTCTTCATAAACTTAAGCCTAAATATGCTTGGATAGAGAGAGAGAAGTTCAAACTTTTACCTGTTCAGCTTGAGTCGTATACAGCAATGGAGGTATCTTCAATGGAGTTTGAGGACTTGTACAGCTTGCCTGAAGTCCAAGGATGCTCCTCCAATCTTTAGCTTGCTTTGAAACTAACTGGATCGAGCTATAGAAGTCAACCTGCACAGTGAAAAGTGAAAATGGCAACCTTGGTTATGGATGTTACAGTTCAAATTCAATGCTTGGAATAGCTTCAATGGATGGTAGGGAGTGTGTTTGAACAAGCTTTGGCCAAAACGCACGAGTGGAAGTGTTTGTGGAAGTCAAGTTGCAGAAGGGACCCTGTTTTTGCAGCAAGAAGGTGTTTCTGTGAATGAGGAGGTATTGAAGGTGGTTTGGTCGTGCTTTAGGTCAGTTAGGGAGTATGAAATGTGTTTACAAAGTTTGTTTAGGCTCTTGCTTGCAGGAAGTGAATGTGGTACATGTTTTTGCAATGTTTCTTCTTATTTAAGCAAAGATTGTCAAGTTGGATTATAGGCTACTACAGGCCCCTCAAGCATGCTGCAAACTTGGTTCTTGATCAGTGGGATTTGTCCATAAACTTGTGCCCAAAAGATATGGCTTGTACCTCTTTGATTTGTGAATTTGACATAAAGCACTTCTTTACAAGAATGGCAAAAATGCTTTTTCCATATATGGATTAATTCTTTGTGTAATGACTATATGGACAAAATAATGCTAGAACACAATGGATTGGCATTTAATTATTGAGTAAGAATGGGATTAGAGGCCTGTAATCTAGCTTGTGCAAGCTGACTTTGAAAATGCAAAGTTATGAACATGTATTTGGCTATGAACAAAGTGACTTTTGCCCATCTTTGCCAATTCGAATCTCCCTAACCACAAGGGTGTTTGATGAGTTCTTGGAAAATTTGGAAAGCTTGGAATGTGTAATACAATCCATCTTTGTAATGCAAGTTGAAATTCCAAGTGGAAGCATGTGAAAAGTGGCCATGAAGTTGGGCAAAAATCCTGCCTAAAATAGGTCAAAAAATTTCTAAGTTAAGAATGTTTTGCACCCTTGTTCCAAAAATCATAACTTGAGATAAAAGCTTCTTTTAAGGAAACTTTGTGAATCAAAGTTGTAGATTTTGCAATGGACTACAACTTTCATGTTTTGAGTTTTGTTTGAATCCAAATGTATCTTGATGAAAAAATGGGACAAAGTTAGGAAAAAATAAGGAAGTTTCATAACTTAGAAAAATTCTAAGTTATGAAATTTTCTCATTCTAAACCCTAATTTCCAAATTTGGATTTCTTGATGAACAAGTTTCATAATTTGACATGTCTTGATAAAAAATGAATCTTGGCACTTGATTTTGACCAAAAAAGTCAAAGTTTGACTTTTCAGTATACAGTCAAATTTTGATCAGTTGACTGAAAAATTCATCTGTCAGTCCTGTGCATTTGGGATCTTTTGAACTTTTTGAATGTGTCAAGACAATTCCATTGAGTCCTTGAGTCCATATGTGAGCTTGATTTGCCATTGGTTAGGTCAAACAGCCAAAAATTGCCTTTGTGCAGTCAAAACCCTAAAAATGACCATTTTGCCCTTTTGGTGATCTGATCAAATTTCTTGTGGAATTGTAATCCAAACTTGACCAAATGGTTCATATGAGTTCAATATGTTGATGTGGGTCAAATTTCACGAGGTTTGACTGTCAATTGACCACAATTGACTTTTTCTCCAATACAGCTAATTTCTAGGTCAACTGTCCAATTGACTAGGCAAAGATTGGAATCAAGGCTTGAAACTTGGTATGGATAAACTTGTAGGTCCAACATGAAGCATGAAAGTCATCTTAGGCATTTTAGGTCAAAACATCCTTGTGTAAACTCAAACCCTAACTTGGGTCAACAGTGCAAGGAGGAGTCTTGAGCAGGACAAACCCTAACTTGATCTTGAGTTCCAAGAGTCTTGTGATGAGAAAATGTTAAAGAAATGAGAGGGCAAATTTTGGGGTACAACACTCGGTAAACAAATACTACAGTTAAAGGGGCTTCCACTGAGTGGGGGATTTCATGTCTCCTTCTTTGGGATTACTCCCTCAAAGTTAACATGACTATATCGCCCTCCTATTCTTAAGTGTAACTTAGTCCAGGTATAGGACTTGTCATTTGTAAGTATCATCAACACCCAAATAACCACAATATATAACATATAATCAAACAAACAAACAAATAATAATGAAAACAGATATGACAAAATAAGCTTAACCCACTTAGGGATGGACCAGCAAGAGGTCACTCTTTCCCCAGCAGAGTCACCAATTCTGTAGCAATAAAAAATGTAGCGGTGTAAATCGGAGATCGGCTATTAATTAACTTGACTCACAAAAAGCAAGAGTCTCCACTGCACTTTATTATTTCCAAGAGAAAATAGAAAAGAGCGAAATAAAATCCTTAAATATGCAATATAAAGTAATACGTAAAAGTAATGAAAATACAATGTGTTTTTTGAAAAAAGATCTAAAGTTAGGGGATTGGTTATACAATTGGAAGGTATTAGCACCCAATGCATATGTGGTACTCCGCAAGAAACTTTTGAAATATCTGTTTTTTGGTTAAAATTGTTTGTTTGGTTAAAATGGTTTGTTTGGTCAAAATGGGTGTGAATGAGATTTTGAAGATACGACGACCTAGCGTCGAAGTTTTGACTTAAAAGGTGTGAGTTTTAAAATTGAGTTCTTTTAGAAAAATTAACTTAATATTAACAAGATAGTAAAACAAAAATGAATGAAGGAATTAACACAATCGTATAAGATGTATTTGATGACACGAAGTCGACAAATTTAAAACATTTCCCTTGGAATTGAGACGAACAGAAGATACAAAGATTAAACGATCGAGAATAAAGTTAATTAGAGCGACAATTGAATAATAACAAAAATTCAATAAGATATTAATTTATAAGCATGCATTTTTGAACAATTAAATAAATAACAAAAACTAAATAAAAGATTAGTTTATAAGCATGTATTTAAATAAACAAAAATTAGATAAAAGATAATTTATTAGCATGTATTTAAATAAATAACAAAAATTAAATAAAAGATAATTTATAACATATTTTTGTATTTTATAATGGCGAGAAATAATTATATATATACATATATAAAATAAACTAAAACTAATGTCTTATTATTAGTGGTATGCTTTGCCAACTGAACTATGCTATTTATTTATTATTACTATGTTTTAATTAAAATAAAAAGGGAATAAGATAAAGTGATTGGGCCAACAGGCCCAAAGGGGATGACCCAGTTGGAAAGAGGAAAAGAAGGATTTTTTGAACCCTAGAGACAAAGGCGTCGCGGCTGGTTGTGATATTGGGAAGGGACATGCAGATTTAATTATTATTGTTCTTGTTTCCAATAAAAACAATTAAAAGAAAAAGTTGAAACCAAAAAGTCTATCCCCTATCTCCCTCATCACCACCAACGATTCTTCTCTCTCATCATCACCACTAATGATTCTTCTCTCTCTCTCTCACACTAAGACTCCATCAATATCTTTATCCTTCAATGCTCAATCACCATAATCAAATCCATGTTTCTCTGCTTTTGAATCTAATAGCAGCACTCCTCTCTGGTTGTCGAGGTCTCACTTCTGGTTCAAGGAAATTCAGCGGATGAAGGTTGAATGGCAAAGACGAAGAAATCAGAAAAGAAGCAAGGTGAATGCAAAGCTGATGAACAATATTTTTGCGGCAGCGCAACACTATTGTTTGTTGGAGATGATGAGAAAATGGACGCAGAACCTTTTATGAAGAAGAGAGAGTTTGCACTCTGTTTCACGTGGAAGTGGGACAGAAGCGTGAATGTGATGTATGTGTGGATATTAGTGAAACAGATGAAGTATGTTGGAGAAAATGTTGTTCGCATCGTCGTGTGAGGAGGGAGGGACGATGAAGGAGGTCTTTATTCTATTAGTGTATGAGAAGCGCCAATAACCAGACGTGGTTTGGAAGTTGATGGGTTGTTACTGGGAGTTTGAGGGTGGATCCGGTGGACTCTGTATTGCTTTGTGATTTGTTGATGGGGAAGGTTGAATGAAATGACGCTCGATCTTTTGGGGTACGTCAAGGTTTATGTTTACAGCATCAAGTGATTCGAGCAAGGATGAGTACGATTGAAGAATTTGAACAGTGTTGGTTGTAAGAGGCGCGTCAAAGTCGTTAGAGTTTTTACAGTGAATGGATGCGGGTGTTGAATGCTTATAGAGCCCATTTCACACTACTGTAACAATAAGTCGTGTTCAATGTATGCATTTTTAACACCCTTTCTTCATCTTTCATTTCTTTAGATTTTTCAAGAATGAAAGGAAGATAAGAATCAAGAACTATTTCTTTATACTTTTGTGAAAACTCAACTCAAAATATCGTTTTTCCGATCTAACGGATATATTGTTATTATTGTTGTGAATATCGTTTGCGCTACTTTTTCTCAGATTCAGCATAAACGAATCTCCATTTGAGAGTAAAACCGTTATATACATCGGTTAATCTCGCCTTTCTAACTGGATTGTGATTTTTTTCTCTTTTGGGACTTTGCTGACTTTGAGTCTTTCATTTTTAGGATCGACTCTTGTTGAGAGATAAGATTCTACAACATCATAGACTTGGTTACGTGTTATACCTGTTGATTCTTCTATGATGAGTGTGAGTGTAGGGAGCGCAATTAGCTTGTTGTTTAGAGGGTGAGATGGATGTTGTGCAGTGGTACAGGTCTGCAGAGGGAGTATATGAGCAGGAAGAGGAAGTGGTGATTTCTATCTGAGACTTAAACTCAAAAAAAGAAGGTAATTTTTTATCTTTGAATTTTGGTGTTATTTTCTATACATTTCGTTTACTGTTTATTGTTATTATTATTATTCTAACATTTCTACATACCAACACATTGCAGCAACTCAAAAAATACATCAAAAGAATAAGATAAATCAAACATCGTCTGGAAAAAAAATGTTGCAAAGAAGATTCAAACCGATGTTGATGTTGCTATGCTAGCAAGGAGCAGATATTGATATATGTATGAGAAAAGTTACGCAAAAACAAATAGGGAGAAGAAATACCTATCGGAGTCTCTCCGATGGAGCTTCTAAAAAAATAGTAAGTTCTCCCTCCCTCTCTTGTTGATGCTCAAACTTCTTTTCCTCTGATTATTTATTGTTAAAACTTGAACAAACTTCTCCTCTATTTTTCTGTTTTTTATTTCCTCTGAGTTTTTTCTTCTTGAGTAATTTTTTCTGTCCATGAAGATGGCTTTTATATAGAAAGAACAAGGCATTTAGAGGGGAAAATAGTAGAACATTTGAATTGTTTTGACAAACTGCTTTGATGCTTTCTTCATACAATTTTAAGTTGCTATTTTGATGCAATTCTTTGGCTGTTATGATGCAGGGAAGCAGGCTGTATAGACTGGTTTACAACATATTTTTTAGCAGTTTTTATAGCAGTTTTGGATTGATCTGCAGGCTGCTATTAGGATGACTTACAGCAGTTTTTTTTGGACAGAAAAATACCACAAAAATGGTCTGGTTTGTGTTGAAAAAAAGTTGGAAAAATTGGCAGCATTGTAGGTTGTTGTTGGGCTGATTTGTTGGATGTATTCGGCTGGCTTACAACAATTTTTGGCAGAATTTGGAGCAAGATTTGCAGCCTTGAAATAAATATCAATAAGTCTAGAATTTAATTTTTATGTAACACAAATAGGAACTTGTCTTGAATGTAATTTCTCAATCCCTTTGTAATTTTAAACATTTTGGATCATTATTTGTCTTGATAAAATTCGAAATCTTCCACTTGAATTAGAAAGGAATTGATTGATACTTGAATGAATTTTTGAATGATGAATAAACAATAATGCAAGCCTTAAGACCTCAATCTTGCATATTGTATTAGAGATACAAATGAATTACATGAATTGATCTTGTAATGAAGTTGTAACCATCATGTATTTATTCTTGTGATGAATGATTATTTGAATCAAGTTCCTTTTTCCAATATCTTCTTTGATAAATGCCTCATGTGAATTCAAACGGCCATGGTGTGAATCCATCAAAATAATCACACAAAAATAATCTTGAATAATTATTAATGTGATGAACAATTATTCTTGAATGAGCTCTTTTGATAACTTCTTTTTAATTAACACTTGAATTCAAATGATGAAAATTCCAAGTATTCTAAATAAATTCTTCCAAAGAGATATTGAATTCAATCACCCCACTCTAACGAAATTCACCCTGCGTCATGTAAGTATAAGAGATCGAACCATACTTAAAAGCTTCGAATGATCACTAGAAGAGGAATTCGAGGCGAAATGTTATCGTATTGAGAAATTGGCACAGTGAACTGAACTTAGAGATCCAGAAACTCTTAAATCATGACAAATGTCATGTAAAGGCTTTTCCTGGCTTTCTAAACACAATTTGTCTTCAACTTTTAAAGAAAATTTTCAGATGAATTTCGGTCGAAGTGCTCGGAATTGACTCACAGAGCCTGATCTTTTCTTGTATTTCAAGGCAGGGTAAAATACACGTGAACTAGTGGTCATGGAACCTTGATTGTTTTTTATGAAGAATTTAGGAGACGCTTGAGGTCACTTGTTGAATAGAGCATGGAAATAAACACACGATTCTCTAAAAGTTCCCTGAAACCAGCTATCACACTTGAGACATTCGTGATCAAAATAAGCTTGAATAATGTTTGAGACTCCATGCTCTGATATTAGAAGTTATGCCTTGATGAATCAGTCTTCGAGAATCAATGATCAATTGAACTTCTGGCTTGAGAGACTCAAAACCCTAATTGAGGCGTGATGCCTGATGCTCTTGATTCAAACCTATTTATTCACATGAAATCAAAGAAACAAAAATACATACACTTCATGATTGATTATAAGTTAGTCATGCATAAGATAAAATGTTCACAACACTCGATAATCTCTGCACATGCAATGCTCGAAGGTGAAATGTTCGAAACCGACCATACTTCGTGACCTTGAAGTATATAAAAATGCAAATGAAGATGGGATATTAGGTCAAAATTTGGGGTATGACAGATAAGACGGTTACTGGCAGGAATCATCAAAGCATCAAGGAGTGGCTTTCTTACTGTTTGTAGCAACGAACCAACGAGGCAAAAACATTACTTCACTATAGACGTCTATTTCAACAGTTCTTAGTTGACAGTTATGCCATGATTGAATCTGAACGACTTAATTGGTTTAGGGATAATCAATCAAAGTTATGAGTTATAAAATATAAAAGATTGACTAATCAATGAGTTAGTGGTGGGCCGAATCAACCATGAAAGAAAGGAAAGCAGGTGGTATTACCGCCTATATTTGTTGGAAGCAACAAATACATGGATCAACTATATTTTGATGGTATGGCCATTTCAAGTAGATTTGGATTTCCTGGTTTATCTGTCACATTTACTTGCAATCTGACTTGGCCATATATCACGTGTGCATTGTCCGACACTGGATTACAGCCACACGATCGACTGAATATTATTACAAAAGTATTCAAAATCAAGTTTGACGAACTGATGGATGATATTACCAAATTCCATGTTCTTGGCAAAGTGTTGGCATGTAAGTACTCTTATTCATATTAAATCTCAATTATGTAGTAACTTTTGTTCCAACAACTATATATGTTAACTAACTATTACCTTCTTAGTTATGTACACCATTGAATTCCAGAAGTGTTTATTGCCCCATGCACACATTATGATTTTCGTCCACCCTCAGAGCAAATATTCAGCACCTTCGGACATTGATAACATCATTTGTGCTGAAATTCTTGACCCCAATGTTCATCATAAATTATACAATTTAGTTAAGGCGAACATGATGCATGGCCCTTGTGGGTTATCACATATGAATTCACCATGCATGAAAAATGGAAAATGCACTAAATACTTCCCTAGAAAGTTCGTTGAACATACTACTGTTGATGCTGATGGTTATCCCTTATACAAAAGAAGATCGCAATCACACGTTATCAAAAAATGGAATTACCTTGGACAATCGACATGTTGTCCCGTATAATACAAGATTTCTTTTGAAATATCATGCATGTATAAACATGAAATGGTGTAACCAAAGTACATCCATAAAATATTTTTTCAAATATATAAATAAAGGATATGATAGGATAACAACATCTGTTTTTGGGAATGACAGAGAACCCATTGATGAAATCAAACAGTATCTAGATTGCAGATATATCTCCCTGAGTGAAGCGTGTTGGCAGATTTACTCTTACAATACTCATGGGAGAAAACCTGTGGTGGAGCATATGTTCTATCATTTAGCGGGTGAGAAGGTTGTTTACTATACAGATCACAGTCGAATGGAAAATATTTTGGAAAATGCAAGTGTGACTGAATTTATGTTTACTGCATGGCTGGTCACAAATGCGCAATATGAAGAAGCTCGGTCACTGACTTATTCTCAGTTTGTCTAAAGGTTTGTTTATGACAGAGGAAATAGGGTATGAAGATGATGCAAAAGATGTTTCACAATAAGTCATTTGGTATGGGTTCCACCGACTACTGGAGAACTGTTTTACTTGAGGATGATGTTGACGGTGTCAAGGGACCTACAAGTTATGATGAAATTCACAAAGTTGGTGACAACCAATAAGAAACATTTAGAGATTCATGCTTTGCAATGGGATTTATTGAGGAAGATAAAGAATACATTGTTGCTATCAAGGAAGCAAGTGAATGGGGTTTAGGACATTTTATTCGCAAACTTTTTGTTGTAATACTATTGTTGGGTGTTGTTAATCGGCCGATTAATGTCTGAACAGAATCGTGACAACTACTGTCCGATGGTCTTTTACATGCCCAAATATTATTAACTCTAAATCCAGGTTTCTTC